TGCATCAGGTTTCTCGTGTGTAGAACTAAATCTACAAGGCTGCTGCAACAACGGACAATCCTGGGGGACAGTGGATTAGTGGACGCGGACAGTGGACGCGAAAAATGTGGCCGATGAGGGGATCTCACCATCGATCCCCGACACTCTTGACAATTTACTGCACCAAGTGGATCGAAACTCGTAACATTGTACGTTTTTAGTGGCATTTCATGACTCATTTAGGGCTCTAGTGGAAGAAAGTAGCTTTTTTAGGGTTTTTCGTCTTTTGGAACTGAAATTTGCAACAAGTTACACATTTTCAAGAGTTTTTCCACTAGAGCCAACGAAAATTTCCCGATTTCCAGCAATTCCAGGCTCAGTTCTTTGTTTCATTTGTTGGTTTGGTTTTCAACTTTTGAAAATCATTTAATTCACGCGCATTTGAGTCTTTCTTCGTTTTCTCCCCGTTTGTTTTTGCCTTTTCACTTTTGCACATATCACATGAGAGCGGAATTTCTGAAATTTTAAGTTTTCCCCTTTTTTCAAAGACATTTCTTTCATCAAAGACTTTACTTCCTTGAGATTTTCCGAAATCACTCAAATTTTGTGCCTTTCTCGATATTCCTTCAAAAGTCCGCATTCCCATTTTTTCCTTTTTATTTTAAACTGACTAGTCATTGCTTTTATTCTGCTAACCGTTGCAGCTATTAGGCTGGCAGGAAAGTCTTTTCGCTCCACCTAAATTTTTCGACAAAAGCCACTACCATACTTTTGTATGGTTAAAATTAAAGATCAATATCTTAAATTAAAAACAATGGCACAAGTTTTTACATTGGGAAGTTTTGATGGAAAAATGATTGATTGAGATTCAGTACCGAGTCAAATTTCATGTTTTTTCCGCACACGTTCTTTTGACTCGGAATTTATCAAAACGCCATATTTTTCTTCAAAATTTCAAGTAAATTTTTGATGATTACTGTATTTTGCAAAGAATTTCAAGTCTAAAGTCATTTTATTTCTTTTGGAATCAGTTTTTCGTTGAAAACACTCAAAAAAATTGACTTTCATTGAGATATAAATTTTTCTACTCCAAATAACCTTGATTCAAAAGCTGCACATCGGCGCGAAATAAGGCAAAAAAAGTGTTTTCTAGTTTCTAGTTTCTAGTTGGTGCGCTTTCTTGATTGCTTTGCCACTTTGGGATATTTCTTGCCCCAAAGTTGATTTTGAAGCTAATGGAAATGCAATTCTTACGATTCTGATCCCCTTATTGCCCACGCGAGCCTAGTTTATGGCTCTAGAAACAAATTTTATGTATTTGCAGCTGAAATCGATCCTGTTGCTAATGGAATTGCATTCGTTGCGCTAGTTGAAGCATTGTTGCTTTGGTGGTTGAGAGGGGCCACTTTTATCCTGATTTCGTTGGATCTAATGTTTGGAGGAGTTTTATGGATAGCTTTTATCTACCTATTCTAGGGTAATCAAATAGGTTTTCTACTTTTAGAGCATTTACAACATGGTTATATTGTGGCTTTTATTTGAGTTTCAGGCTTTCAGGTAGTGTGTGATGGTTAAAGTACATGAGATTAGGCTAGAATGGCCAGAAGCTTCCTAAAATAGTCACCAATCTATTAAACATTTTTGATTACCCTAGAATAGATAAAAGGTATCGATACAACCACTCAAAAAGATTAGATGTAACTAAGCCAGGATAAAAGTGGCCCCTCTTAACCACCAAAGTGCCAAAGCTTTTGTAGCTTTATAGTTGAAGCTGAAGCCCACAGCTTTGTAGGAGTTCGGGAGTTATATTTTATCTAGAATTCAATTTTCCGACGCTTAAGTCAATCCTGATTCATTGGATCCTCCAAATCTCAATTCTTGCGTTAATGGTTTCTCTTTACCCCTTCTGCCTTAGTTGAAGCACTTTTCATTTCTGTATTTGTCCTCACTTCGAAGCACCCTAGTTTGTATTCTTTCAGATATTGCAACTGATCAACTCGCTTTGGACAAAATGTGCGACGAAGAAGTGGCTACACTCGTGGTTGACAACGGATCCGGAATGTGCAAGGTGAACTTTGGATCTCGTAGTCCCTGAGCAGGGCGAACTGTTGTTTAACTTGTTATACATTGCCTAGGTAACTGTTTTTTTAACGTCAAACTACTTAAGCTGGTTTTAGTTTAAGTTTTGTTCGAGTTACGGTACTAATTCTTTTTAGGCTGGCTTTGCTGGTGATGATGCTCCGCGCGCCGTCTTCCCGTCAATCGTCGGCCGCCCTCGTCATCAAGGGGTTATGGTTGGAATGGGGCAAAAGGATTCTTACGTTGGTGATGAGGCTCAATCCAAGCGAAGCATCTTGACGCTTAAGTATCCAATTGAACACGGTGAGGATTTTTTTGTGTAATTGGGTGTTGCGCCAAATTATAAGAATTACTTCACGGAAAATGGCTTTAAGCAATGGAAATTGCGGATTACGGTAGCTAGTGCATTTAAGAATGCGTCCCCAAATTTTTTCTCTGTAAACGCTCTTGCGTTAGTGCATCAATCAACGCTGAAAGTGGGCACTAACACCGTTGATTACGGTATAAAGAAAGAAAAAGAAAGACTAAGGTAGAGAAGAGAAAGTTGACAAGTCTACATTAAGTTAAGTCTTGTCTAAGTGTTTTAAATGATCTAGTATAAGTGTTTCAAATTTTCTAGTATAATTGTTTATGAGAAATATAATGCTACGGGATAAACTTAGGTTCTAGTGTTCAAATTGAATTGCAGTCTGTTTTCTGGGAAATTTAAGAGAATCTTTGAAGAAAAGTTTATTCTTTTTAATAATATCTATTAGTGAAACAGTTGTATTAAAGGGATATTTGTTCTCATTAAGTAGTGTTATAAGGTTTTTCGTGTGTAGAACTAAATCTACAAGGCTGCTGCAATAACGGACAACCCTCGGGGACACTGGATTATTAAAAAAAATTGTGGGGGACCGATACTTCAATGTCGCGTGGAGGGCAATGCTGCAGTTTTCCCAGGGGGGAGGGGAAGTAATTCAGGATTTCTGGGGAATGTATTATCGCCCCCTCCCGCCGCTGTTTACATTCTACCGTAAATCTCTTGATGGCGCGTTCGATCTGCATCGTGCGATCCTCCAGCGGTGGGGGAGGGCGGGGGCTTCTTCAGTAGGGGGCGATAATGCAGTTTTCCCCAATCCTGATAAAATCACCTTCAACACACCTATGTTTGATAGATTATGGCATGCAACTAACGTATTTTTTGGCATTATAATAGCTATAAAATCGTAAGCGTCAATTTTATTGCATAGCTCAGTGAAGAGTTTCTCAGATCTTTTTCTATCAACGAGAATGTGCACAAAAGGGTATTTCGTGGATGAAGTGCTAAAACGCGCAATGAAAAAGAGCTTTTTGAAAAGTGCAACCACCAAATATGTTTTTGTGTACATTCTACCGTAAAACTCTTGATGGCGCGTTCTAATGCGTGCTCCTTTCGTATATTTAACGAGACATTTTGCCATAAATTTCATTCATTTCAATTCGTTTAGCAGGTGTATATACCTTAAATACTGTGAAAGTACCCCACCAGCCTCTAGTGCGTGCCACACGGGTGCTACTATTACAGTATTCACAGGAGCTAGTAATAGTATTTTGTTCGGGGAATTTTCCTCATATTAATTACGATGTTATCTCTGCTATAATTTTTCATTTAGGGGAGATGTTGAACAGAGCGGAGAGCAGCAAGACTCAAATCCAAGCCAATCCAAGTGGTTTATCCAATATCCAAGTGGAACCGAACCAACCATTCTCCCAAAAGGACTTCTTGGCACAATTGCCAAAGGAGGTTTGTTGAAACCTGTGGGGGTAATTGCTTGATTTTAGATTGCTTATCGCATCATCGCCCATTTGACACCGCGCGATTTGATGACTTGCGCGGGCGTTTCACGGACGTGGCAACGGATTTGTGAAGAAGATCAGACTTGGCGACAGAAATGTTTCGAGAACGGATATGTGGAATTTGATGCGCCAAGGTTTGTTACAGTTTTGAGCCGATAAGATAACACTTAAAAGTACATATCTGATAGATTTATATTAAACTAGATTTAAAGAATTGTACGATCTAGGACAATAATGTTATTGATTCCAAAGCAAACAATGATAGAAAGCGAGGGAAAACATATGATAATGTTTGTTTAGATGAACTGGTTCATATTTAGGGAATAGATTGTAAAAGACTTGTCTCAAACTCAAAACTCAAACGTCTCAAACTTGTTTTTTTAGTTTTCGTTTTCTCGGGGGTTGGGCGGCGAATCCAGAGCATCGAGCAAATAAGCAAGCGGAAATCACAATCTGTTCACATATGGACCTTCAAGAAGCACAGCAGAATCGACAAGCACGCAAGATCGCATATGGATAGTTAGTGGCCTAACTTGTTGCGAAATGACGTTTTTTCTAGTTGTTATGAGCGTTCGTCATGGAAGTCGTTGTACTTGCGAAAGAGGCGAATCATTTCGAATTGGCGATCCCGAGCGATTCAATCAAGCACTGTTCTAGAGGTTTGAAGAAATGGTTTGACCGAAAAAATGCTTTTTAGAATGAGGTTCTCAAGTATCAAGAAAATCAGTCTGCTCGTATCTTTACTGCTTCTTATGATAAAGCGTTGCGGTACCGGAAGGCGTCGCGGGTCTGGAATGTTGATGATGCTCAAGTTTGTTTTGTTTAATTGTTATTATACGTCTGAATTTAGCCGGCTTTTGCTCTAACTGGTTATAATGGTTTCCCCTTGTCGTATCAAGTGAGCGAAGATGGCAAATACTTTGTCGGGTTGGTTAATAGACTATAGCTAGTGCAGTTCATAAGTGTTGCCAATGAAGCTAAAAAGATTCAAACAAAAATTCTGATGACAACAAATACTATTGTAATATTTCAGTGGCGGGCAGGATGGGACGGTTCGCGTTTGGTGTGGTCAAACCGGTGCACAGCTTCATGTTTTGCAGGGACATACGCAAGGGATTCCATGCATGAGTCTACATGGCACAACGTGAGTGATCTGAATTTTCTGTTGGGCTAAGATCATAATGTTTTAGTCTTGTTTCTGGATCGTGGGATCAAACACTCCGAGTCTGGGACATTGTCCACGGGAAATGCCTTCACATTTTGGCTGTCAAGACGTGGGTATGTGGATTAAAGTTAGGGTTTAAACAAAGCTAAATTTCAGGTGAGTTTTGTGAAATTTGATGGAGAACGGGTTGTATTTGATGGCCAAGCTTTTGCCGTAAACGTTTGTACAGTTATTAGTGCAATTTATGATATTTTACTAGGTTTGGAATGTACACACGGAAGAGTGTTTGCACACGCTGACGGGTCACACGGAAAGGATCAATTCTCTTTTGGTGAGTTGAGTTGTCGAATTTTGGCTTTAATCAGGATTGTGTTTTAGTTTGAGCCGGAGCGCGATCTGGTCTTCTCGGGAAATAGTGGATCGATTCGCGTCTGGGATGTGCGAAGTGCAAGTGGGTTTTACTTGTTCGCTATTCTGTTACAATGTCGACTATATTTGTTTCTTTCAGCATGCATCTCACATTTTGTCGTTTATGGAAGGTCACGGCACAGTGGTTACTTTGGGATGCAGTTTCGCGGAAACATTTTGGTCTGCCGTTGCGACTCGGACATTTGGGTAGGTTTATCAATCCTATCAAAACTACTTCCTTTTCTTTAGGTTTGGGACATTCGTGAGGGTGGCTCATGCCTTCACCACTTACATGGCGTAAATGGTCAGACGTCGGCCATCACTTCATTGCAATTGCTCGACTCCGGACTTTTGGTGACAGGTTCGGTTGATGGCTCGGTGAAGCTGTGGGATGTGGAAAAAGGTATGCTGTTTTAAATTACCTAATACTATAGGCAATAAGATCCAGACTGCAAGCTGGCATTTAAAGTAGAATTTTTTCACTAGACGACTTGTCTCGTCAACTATTCCAGCTTAAATGTATGTCAAAGTTTAGTGTCTTGTTGTTAGTTTTTTTCATTTGAAGGTACGTTCGTTCGTGAGCTCGTTCGATCCCCTTCGGGTGACCCTGGCGGTTATCTATGGAATCTCAAAGCATCTGAAACATTGCTCGTATGTGGGGTCGAATCGGTAGAGGAGAGGAAGGCAAAGATCATCTTGATAGATTTTGACGCATCATATCCATAGGTATATTTGTATTAGGTTGTCCAGTTATAAATGCGCGTTTTTAAGATAACAACTCTTTATTTTAAAACCAACAGTTTAACCGCTCAATCAACAATATATTCACCATTTGTTAACAATATTTGTTTCCATCTTCCATGCAAAGAATGAAATCCCTCCACGTAAAAGTTGGCTTGTTTTGAGGCAGAGAAGTCGGCTATCCATTTTTCGACCTCTTGAACTTCTTTGAACTTGTTTCCGGCCAAATGGTTTTGCAATGAGCGAAATAAATGGTAATCCGAAGGAGAAATATCCGGAGAATATGGCGGATGGGGGAGAGTTTCCCAGCCCAACTCTTCGAGTTTTTTCTGAACAATCTTTGCAACGTGTGGACGGGAGTTATCTTGAATGTACTTTATGTTTGGAGGATCAAGGCCTTTTTGTAGCAATACATTGTTCACTCGTTCCAATTGTTGTGCATACGTTTCACCCGTGATTGTTTGTCCAGGTTTAAGCAGTTTAAAATAAACAATGCCTTGGAAATTCCACCAGACAGTAAGCATTACTTTCTTGTCATGGAAGTCGGGTTTTGGTGTTGGTATTGGCTCCTCACCAGGTTCTAGCCATTGCGGTTTTCGTGTAGAATTATCATATTGAATCCATTTTTCATAGCAAGTAAGGATTTCATCGTAAAACCCAGTATTTTTTGCCAAACGAAGAAGAATACCCGCCATAGTGACACGAGTAGCTTTATTGGCATTGCTGAGAAGATGAGGAACCCATTTCCCTTGTCGGCTTGTTTTCCCCAATTGATTTAAATGCTCGGAAATTGTTTGAGGGCTTACTCTAAATATTTCTGCAAGTTCACGTGTAGTTTTTCGAGGATCCATTTCTATCGCCTGCTTCAGTACTGCATTATCGATCGCAGGAGGTCGTCGTTGGTGGTCTTCGTCTTCCAAAGATTCATTTCCTTCTCGAAATCGTTGAAACCACTGGCCGAAATAGCATCTTCGCCAAATACTTTGCAGAGATCTCGATGGGATTCAACGGCATTTTTGCCCAATTTGAAGTCATACCAAAGACTGGCACGAAGACGAGACTTCGTCTCGGCCATCTAAACACGGAAATTAAATCAAAAATCAATTAGTTTAACGTCAAAAACACGAAAAGTTGTAATAAATAAGCAATCTTGAACAGCATATAGAGAATAGGGTTTGATAAAATTGTATAGCCCTAAGGTACGCTGTTCAAGAGCATGCGCGCATTCATAACTAGACAACCTAATATTTTGTCGCTTTCCCTATTATGATTTTCCGAAGTATTCTGTCGGTTTTTCCATTCTTCTGAACTTTCATTACTTGTGATTTACTTTCAATGATTATCAACATTTTATATACTTATATGCCATAGTTTTGATTTTGTGAATTTTTTTTTCATAAACCTGGTGTTAATCATTGAAATCTTTCAAAATCGTCAAGTGCAAACCATCTTTCAAAATGACTGTTCCTTCGAATTAGTTGATTGGTTGCTTTCAACGTTCGATTATTTTTAGTCCGTATCGAGTCCTGTGATTCTTTATTTGCTCGATTTTTCAAGATTTTTCAAATATTTTTTTAGATGAACTGGTTCATATTTAGGAAATCGATTGTCAAAGACTCGTCTCAAACTTGCTTTTTTAGTTTTCGTTTGCTCGGAGGTTGGGCGACGAATCGAGCAAATGAGCAAGCGGGAATCACAATCAGTTCACATATGGACCTTCAAGAAGCACAGCAGAATCGACAAGCACGCGAGATCGCATATGGACCTAACTTGTGACCACTTGTTAGTGACCTAACTTGTTGCGAAATGAAGCATTTGCTAGATGTTATGAACGTTCGCCATGGAAGTCGCTGTACTTGCGAAAGAAGCAAATCATTTCGAATTGGCGATCTCGAGCGATTCAATCAAGCACTGTTCTGGAGGTTTGAATAAATGGTTTGACCGAAAAAATGGTTTTTAGGATGACTTTAAATACCCCATTCGTCTACAAATTCATTCTGGTCGTATCATTGCTGGTACTCAGGATTATAAGTTGCGGGTCTGGAATGTTGAAGATGCTCAAGTTAATTTTGCTTAATTGTTATTGCACGTCCGAATTTAGCCGGCTTTTGCTGGCAAATACATTGTCTGGTTAGTTAATAGACTATAGCTAATGCAATTCATAAATGTTGCCAATCAAGCTAAAAAGATTCAAACAAAAATTCTTAAGACAACAAATTCTATGGTAATATTTCAGTAGCCGGTTTGATCTAACGTTGCGCGTTTGGTGTGGTCGGTGCACAGCCGGTGCACAGCTTCATGTTTTGCAGGGGCATACGGGTTTGACTCCATGCATGAGTCTACATGGCACGACGTGAGTGATCTGAATTTTGTGTTTTAGCCAAGATCATAATGTTTTAGTCTTGTCTCTGGATCGCACGATCAAACACTCCGAGTTTGGGACATTGTCGACGGGAAATGCCTTCACATTTTGACCGGCCACTTGCGGAGGGTATTTGTATTAAAGTTATGGCTCAAACAAAGCTAAATTCCAGGTGAATTTGGTGAAATTTGATGGAGAACGGGTTGTATCTAATAGTGATGATTTTACCGTAAAGGTTTGTACAGTTATTAGTGCAATTTATAGTATTCTATTAGGTTTGGAATGTACACACGGAGGAATGTTTGCACACGCTGACCGGTCACACGACTCTAGTTGCTTCACTTTTGGTGAGTTGAGTTGTCAATTTTTGGCTTTTTATCAGGATTCAGTTTTAGTTTGAGCCAGAGCGCGATCTTGTCGTGTGGGGTAGTCGGGAAGGAACGATTCGCGTCTGGGATGTGCAAAGAGGAAGTGCGTTTTTACTTGTTCACTATTCTGTTACAATGTCATCTATATTTGTTTCTTTCAGGATGCATCGCACATCTTGTTTGTCTTCAAGAGTTAGGGTTCACAATTCACTTTGAGATGCAACTTCGCGGAAACATTTTGGTCCGCGGTTACGACTCGGACATTTGGGTATGTTTAATCAATCCTATCAAAACTACTTTCTTTTATTTAGGTTTGGGACATTCGTGAGGGTGGCTCGTGCATTCACCACTTACATGGCGTAAATGGTCAGACGTCGACTATTACTTCATTACAATTGCTCGATTCGGGACTTTTGGTGACAGGTTCGATGAATGGCTCGGTCATGCTGTGCGATGTGAAGAAAGGTATGATGTTGTAAATTACCTAATACTATAGGCAATAAGATCCAGACTGGAGGGTGGGATTTAAAGTAGAATTTATTAATTACATGGCTTGTCTCGTCAACTATTCAAGCTTAAATCTATGGCAAAGTTTAGTGTCTTGTTGTTAGTTTTTTTCATTTTAAGGTACCTTCGTTCGTGATCTCATTCGATCTCGTTCGGGTTACCCTAGTCGTTATTATTGGGATCTCAAAGCCACGGGAACATTGCTCGTATGTGGAGAGGGGACAAAGATCATCTGCATCGATTTTGACGCAGCATATCCATAGGTATATTTCTATCTTTGCTCTATCTTGTCTAGGCCTTATTGTGATTTTCCGAAGAATTCTGTCGGTTTTTCCATTCTTCTGAACTCTCATTGCTTATTCCTTTCAATGATTACCTACATTTTATATAGTTGTATGCCATAGTCTTGATTTTTTGAACCTTTCTTTTCATTAACCTGCTGTTAGTCATTGACCTTCTTGAATGTTTCAGAATCGTCAAGTGCAAACCGTCTTTCAAAGTTACTATTCCTTCGAATTAGTTGGTTGGTTGCTGTCAACGTTCGATTATTTTTAGTCCGTATCGAGTCCTGTGATTCTTTATTTGCTCGATTTTTCAAGATTCAAAAGATTCAAGATTCAAGTTTTTTTTCGAGATGCGTAAACAAGTCGATAGAATTTATGAGTGATTGGAAGTGAAAATTTATGAGTGCAAGTCGCAAATTCTCTTGCTCATCACCGATTCTCGTGTCATCACAAAGGGGCATCATTGTCTGAAGAAAAAAGAGAAAGAGAAAGGGAGAAAAAAGAAAAAAAAAGGAAAGAGAAAATCACAGACTAAGTCCAACAGATCGTAATTCTTAGGAGCTAGACAAAGATCGATCGTCAAATTACACGTACATCTTTCAAATCGTTGATCGTCGACAGATCACAGAATTCAACAATCACTCGTGACTCCCAAAACATACTTGATTCTGCAATTGATCATTTTCGACAATTTCCAGGGCCACCATTCGCATCCCGAAGCAATTTCAAAACGATGAGAATGTTCGAATAATCGCCGCGAACCAATACGAACTTTGGGCAACTGACGATCCCGATGACGTAATGTTTATCGTGGATGAGAGGAATTTTCACGACAACCTAAGCTTTCGTTTCTCTTCCACAATCATTCAAATGACGGGAGCCTCTGAAAGAATGCACTGCCTGCTTGAGAACGGAAAGCTTGATCGGTAAAGAAAGTCACGGAGAAGTGGGATTGGGAGAGGAAACACGACAGACGTTTTCAAGAGAAATTTCATATTCTT